TGACTTACACTCTTCAGGGAACTCTGACTCTGTCTGTAGGCACTGGCCTTCCCTACAGGCCTGGATCTTTGGGTTAGAGCCATCGTCTTATATTTCTGGTCCCCTCCCAAGGCCCCTTCCATGGCACCTGACTCAGTGGTGCCCATCTATTGCTCAGTGCTTGCTCCTGAATCATGATGATTGGCCAAATCCCTTGCAAAGGCTTCTTTCTATAAGATGTTTGGTGTTGAATATATACAAAGCAAGATGTTCAGTATAGAATATAGTGATGACTAGGCAATCACTTCAAAATAGGCCAAATACTCAGACATGTTCACTCTGGGGTTGTTTTTAAGAAAAAAACATGGAAATAACTAAAGAAATGGATAAATTGGGGGCATAAGGGAACATTTAGGGAGTCAGTGAGCAGCTATTTTAAATAAGGCAGAGTCAAGTGTTCAAAAGCATGGCCAAGAAAGGTCAGATGGTGTGCTATCATGTGTGCAGAACACAAGAAAGGCATGCACAGATTAATAGAGTCAAAAAATGTTGCAAGGAGACATAAGAAACACTAGGGATTTCTGAGGAATAGACTCAGAAGTTAGGAGTAAGAACTTTTATTTGTTCTATTGTTGTTGTTAATCATGACCTTATTGCTTTTATTAAAAAAAAAAAAAAAACTAGCCGAAAGAACAGCTATGTTTAGAAGGCGATGGGAAAGTTAAGTCTAAATGATGCCCCTCCCAGCGGGCAGGACAAGGCAGGGGTGCAGGGTGAGGGGGATGAGGCCAGCTGCAGGCAGGCATTTCCCTTTGCGGGTGGTTCTTGGCTCTGCGTGGAGCTCACTGCTGACCAAACCAAGCAAGCTTCCAACTCTCTCCCAGGAGATGGAGATTAGTCCAAACATGGGGCTTCTGAATGAGACAAACATGAGACAGCCTTGGAAAGACCAGACATTCACTGACCACTTGCTGCCACTGTTGCTACTAGCCCTGTTCTGAAGGATGGCCATGTGCCCCTCAGCCCTGCACTGAGCTCATAATTCATTACTCTGTAAGTATGGATGAATCAAGTGACTATCTCAGACGCTGTCAATGGTTCACCACTGCATATCGCATGAATTCCAAATTGACTTTACTGTTCGAGGTGTTCCTGGCAGGTTCAGCCTCACAGTGTCTTCTCCATTACTTGTGTGTTTCAGTGTGTATGAACCTATGTACCTGCATTGTTTGGTTGGAATGCTGACTGCTGCTTACCCCCACGTGACCCTAGTCAATCCCTCGATCCTTCAGCACCTCCAGTTTTCTCATCTGGAAAATGGGGAGTATAGTAACAGTATCCCCTTCAGTACTAATGTGCAGTATTGGGGTTAACTTGTGTGAACAAAAGGAGCCTGGATCATACCTGCCTCAGTGCCGCTGCCCAGCCTCATTCAGCTTCCCCTGGCCCTCCCTGATCAGCACCCCAGGCATCAGTGGTTCTTAGATTTTAGCCAGGGAGTCCGATGGAATGCAGATTCCCAGACCCAGCCCAAGAGAGGCAAATGAAAGCTGCAGCGGAGCTGACCCCAGTGTTATGGGGTCACACAGGGAGAAACAGGACCTGCCTGGTCTTTTTGGATTTTACCAGCCCTGGGTTCATCTTTATAGATATATTATCATACCTGGTTATATGGTATTGGGGATTGAACCCAGGCCTTTGTGCATGTTAGCCAAGTACTCTACCAGCTAAACTATATCCCCAGCCTGTTTTGGTCTTTTTGTGGTACTTTTCATGTGAGAACTTGGAAGGGCACCTTGCTCTTCCCTCTTGGGGCACAGATTTGGTCCTATTCACTTTTCTATCTTGCAAAGTATCCCCTACACATCAGGTTCCCAATAAGTGCTTGTAGACTTGTACTGACCTGCTAGAATCAGGACATCCCTTGCCACTGTGCTGCTCAGCTCACTGGTGGGAGAATGACTGTGCTTAGGGAAAACTGAGGCACAGCTAGTCCCACGTGGACCGTAGGCCCTCAGCAAGCTAGTTAGCCTCTCAGGTCCATCTTCCAATAAAGCAATCCACTTTGGTTTTCTTGAAAGGAAGAAGGAAGACTCACAATTGTACCACTTGGGGGAAGCTTACAGCCTTACAGTCACTCCAGATTGGATTTTGGGTACCACACAGGTTTAAGGCAAATGACCAAGCTCTCTGAGTGATTTGGACGATGGCTTTGCTAGTAAATCAACATGTTAGCTAGTACCAGGTTCTCAGCCCTGATGGTGCTTTGGCATAGCAAGAGGGAGCTTTGGTTTGGATATTGAGTCCCTTCCCAAGATTTTTGTATTGGCAGATGGTCCTTGGGTGGTGTAGGGCAGTGGTGGAACTTATAAGAGGTGGTCTTGTGGGAGGACCTCAAAGTGGTCTGCTCTTAAAAGAGTTCTTATGGGGGGGGGTCCTGGTTAGTTCCCATAAGGCTCTGTCTGGCTCCACCCAGCTCTCTGCCCCTGATTCACAACAGTGAACACTTTCTTCTGCATGTCTTACTATCATGATGTGAGACTGTCTGCCACACTCACCAGAGGTCAAATGAGACCATCTGATCTTAAATCTGGAGTGTTTTGAACTGTGAGCTAAATAAACCTTTTTTCTTCCTCACTTATCTGCTTTGGGTATTTCATAATAGTACTATAGAGCTACCTAGTACAGAGGGCTGGGGCTGTGTGTGTGTGTGTGTGTGTGTGTGTGTGTGTGTGTGTGTGTGTGTGTAGGCAGAGGACAACCTTGGACACCATTCCTTATGAACTAGCTACCTTGTTTTTTGAAACAGGGTCTCTTACCGGCCCAGAGACTTCCCAATAAGGCTATGCTGGCTGGCCAGGGGGCTCTAAGGGTTCACCAATCTCTGCAAGTGATGAGATTTACAAGTGGGCAACACTGCACCTGGCTTTTCACATGGGCTCTGGGGCTCAAATTCAGGTCCTCATGTTTGTACCATAAACACTTTACTGAGCTACCTCCAAAGGCCCTGGGCTGGGACTTTTGAGGATATAGTGCCCTCCCCTAACCTAACCAATCCCCTGGCCTTACCTAGCTTATTTTTACCTTTGTTAACACCTGCGGCAAATACAGTTCTGGGACTTAATGTAGATCAAACAAGTGGGTGGGTGCTGTGTGTCCAGCATCTTTGAGAAGGAAAAGCAAATCCTCAGCAAAATAGGGCAGTGTGGCCCTCTTGGAAAACGACCCACGTGCCTCAGAGGACTAGAGCTCCAGTTTCAAGATGGAGTCTTAGAACAACAAAAGCTTCTGGTTCCTTCCAGCGCCCGCATGTCTTTGTACAGCTCTGTGAAATAAGGTCTTGTGTTGGGATCTGCCCTGTGGCAGGCTTTCAAGGTCCTTTCAGAAACTCCGAAGGCAGTGCGCATGCTACCCGAGAGGCAGAAATGTTCCATTTTGTCATTTTTAAAAGTTTCCTGAAAGCGTAGGAATAAAAGGGGAGTGAAAGTTTGCTTGCCAACAGGAAGTCCGCCCTTATCCCCAACTCTGCCTTGGGAGCCTAAACGATTTCCTGAAGTTAAAACCAACACTGTAACCGATTCTACTTCTTACAAGAATTTAATTCTTCCTTTAATATAAATAAGGCAGCATGAAACCCCCCAAACCCTGCTGCTTTGGAAGCAGTACTGGTTCATAACAGGTCCCACCAAACGCCGTCTAAACAAGACGCCAGAGCGAACTTTCTCCCGGAAGTGAAGGGGAAGCCAAGATCCAGGCTTGGTCTTTGCTTATGGAGGCTGATTCCTGATTGCTAGGCTCTCTTCAAAGCATAGCGGGATAAGGGTGAACGGGGAAAAGGCACGGATGACAATAAATAAGGACATCTGCCCAACAGATTAGGAGGCTCAGGGCTTCTGTCACAGCCACACCTGTGCAGGAGCATTTACTGAGTCCTGAGTTGTCACTGTGAGACAGGGAAGGGGCAGACCACGCATGCCCAGTCCAACTTGTGCGCGCACCACCGCTTCCAGTAGTCTCTGGCTGTCCTGCACGCAGCAGATTCTCTCTACCATATCACTAACCGTGATGGCTAAATGGTCCATCTTTAGGAGTTTCCTGAGGCCATGTGAAAGCATGCATGAGGCTGGGGGTAGCCTGGGCAGCACCCCTGTCAATGTGGCTTTTCTGGAGGGAGGACAGGTCCCTTGCCCCTCCTCACTTCCTCCTTGGTCTGCTGCAAAGGTTACTGAAGAGATGCTCAGACAAAATCTCAAACGACCAGTGAAGCGTAAGTGGATAAGAGGTTCACAAGTCCTCTGAACCAGGTGTGGAGAGGCTAGGAGCTCTAGCCTCAGGTTCTGGTGTTTTGTCTGAGGCCAATGGCACTGCTGAGTACCCCGGACTGTGCGGCAGCACTCACTCGGAGTTCCAGTCAGCCCAGCCCCTGCCATCCCTAGTTCTGGGTTATCCATGTGGTCATCAAGGGCCATGCAGAAAAGGTGGGCTGTGTGCAGTGAGCGAATTTCCCTGGAATGAGGACCTGGGAGGGGCTCTGTGTCTGTGGCCCAGACCTGGATTTTCATAGCATCTCTAGTTTTATAAGCCTACCCTTCCCCAGGACTGGGACCCTGAGGATAGCTCAGGGCTATGGCAATCCTCACCCCAGGGCTCTGTAACTCTCTCCAGAGTAGGCTGGACTATAAGCCAGACCCACAGCACTTGACTGGCTCTGCCCTAGTCACCCAGTATCTTTCTCTAGATGAGCTTCCAACTTCAGTATCTGCCATCCCTTACCACACTGCTGGCTGATGAGACCAGCTTAGAGGACGGGGAGAGGCGAGGGGCTGCTGTGGTAAATGGCACCTATGGTGCTTGGGACTTGGCACACTAGTAAAGGGGCAGGGGAAGGGGTACACCTGAGTGAGAAATGTGGCTGAAAACTGGCCGACTTTAAACTCTCTACCACAAAGTACCCATTTCTGTATAATAATAGACACATTAGCCACTTGGGGTCTTGGACCTCTATTTTTGTGCATGATGTGGCTCAAAGACTGAATTCCCACATCTGTCCTCATTCATAATTTGGCTGTAGATGACTGGGGCCAAGAGTTCCTGGAATGGAGATGCTAGGTTTTAATCTGGTTCCTGGTAGCTTTCTAGATGATCCTCTATTGATAAGAGGCACAGATTGGACCAGGGTATAAAAAGGTGACATTCAAATCAGTGCCTGCATTCTCTCCACCTCAGTGTCCAGAGACTTTTCTGTTGTCATCATCATCATTTACTGTGATCAGCCCCCAAACCCCAATGAACGGCCTTACCAACAAGCCTCAGTGGAGGAAAGGCAAACCAGCATTCAGCTGGACTTGTGTTTCCTTTACTCTGCAGGACCTGGCTTTCTGGCAAGCTGAACCTCAGCGCCCCTGCAGGCCTGCCGTGTTTCCTGCACTAGGTTGTAGAGACCCATTAAGGTAGACGTGGGACACTCCTGGCCTTGGATTCTCAGGCTCTCCACGCTCTACAAGACAACAGCTTTTGGGGGTGGGCTGGTATGGTCAGAGGGGACATGGAGGGAATACTCGCTGATAAGTGTTGGGGCATTCTTAAGCATCTCATAGAAGGAGGCCACTGTGCTACAGTAGAGAGTCCGCTGTACGACGAAGGACCGGAAGAGGTTGAGAGGCTCCGCCCTGAGCAAGGCCTCTGGGAGTCCCATGGCTTCAGGCACTTTGCGGTTGCCCACGAAGAAGTGATGGAGCTTCTTCTCCAGTAGGCACTTCTCCAGGAAGCAGAGCAGCTCCCGCAGGCGAACGTCCAACTGGGTAGCTTTCCAGTCTGCAGCAGGCCGGGACAGCAGGAGGTGCAACAGGGCTGTCTTCAGGTGGTAATTGCTCAGCCCACTGGGGCCAGTCAGACGGCTCTGCTTGGAGAGCAGGAAGGAGGCGATCTGCAAACAGCTGAGGTGGCAGGCACCCTCAGGCAGAGCCTTGGCTATCATCCGGAGGAACTGTCGCTCATAGACAGCAAAGGACAGGAGCCAGTCAGTGCTGGAGACAGGGGTTCCCCCAAAGGGCTCCCTGGGGAGGTGTGAGACAAAGTAGAGGTCTGAGTCATGGCACTGGATCACAGGAGTCAAGATGAGGGGCATGAACTTCCCTGAGCGGAACTTGATTTTGAGAGACCCTGGGGTGTCCAGCTGGCCAAAGGCGAGGTCAAACTCGTATTTGTGGGCAATGAGGTGCCAGGCTCTGGTGAGGGATGTCTGGAACCACTTCATAACCCGCATGGCATCTAGGTATGGGGACTCGCTAGAGCCCAGCAGGTCCTCCATTTTGAGGCCCTGGCCACTGCTGAACCACGTTTCATGATTCTTGCCGTGAAGGAGACACAGCATGTCTTCCCCAAGCTTGGTCTTGCCACAGATACAGCCCAGAGGGTCCCCATCAGCCCGGGCCACCCTGATCTGGCTGTAGCCCTGACGATCCAGGGGCACTGAGCGGCTGGAGCACCAGAGTTCCGGGTGGAAGCAGTAGGGTTCCGGGAGTGTGAAAGGGACAAACAGGTGGCACAGCAGTGGCCTGTCCACTTGCCAGTTCTCGTACATGCTGCCCACGCCGATGAAATCCTCCATCTCCATGTCAGTGTCCTGGTTGTAGAGGCTCCTCAGAGCTTCCAGCAGGTCGTCCACGAAGCCTTCCACAAACTCCCGTGTGCGGGCGGCATCTGCCGTGGCACTTCGGATACAGCGCTCGTAAAAGTGGCCCAGAATGGCCATATTGGGCAGGGTGAGGCCCTGCAGTGGAGGGCCCCCCAGCCCAGGCAGCTCATCCTCATCTGCGCCCAGGCACTCCGGCAAAGGCCCGTCCTGGTGGTCCTGCCGCCACACCTCGATGATCAGGAAAAGGATCATACAGAGTGTGCTCCACAGATCCCAGGCCGTGTGGGCCTCCGACTGCTGCTGGCCTACCTCTTCCACCTGCTGCAGGGCCTCCTTCTCAGCTACCAGCCGGGACACCTCCTCCTCCAGGCGCAGCTGCTCCAGCTGTAGCTTTTCTTGGTGTTCCTGCATCTTTCGGATGATCTCCTCTTCGTTTTCAGGCACCGTGGCGTTCTCTCGTGGGAAGAGCAGCGGGTGGTTAACGATGGCTGTCACCACCACCAGACATACCCGGAAGAGTCCCATGGCCATGACGATACTGTTCCTGGGAACAGAGAGAGACTGTGTGTCACTCCTATACTTCATTCAATGCCACATCTCCCTGGACCCTAGTACCAGCCTCTGCCACACAGAGCTAGTGACTGTCTTGGTTCTTCTCCTAGCCAGCCCCAAGCTGTCCCCTGTGAAAGTGTTCCATGCTCCAGTCCAGCCTTGGAGAAAGACTCCAAGGCTTACACTTGCTGTGGACATCTCTTTTTATCTGCCAGAACATTCCTCTTGGTGGAGACAGCACCCCACTGATCCTGATGGCCAACCTTCTTTCTTCCTGGTCCTTATCGCAGGGGATGGCTCCAGGGGTAAGCATAGAACCCAGACTCCTGACAATGAAGATTATCCACACAGCCATAGCTACAGCCACAGTGATTGGTTCAGTGATGAATATGTGACATTTTGAGCCAATGGAGATTCTTCTCTGTGGCTAGGGTTGTCTGGTAACAGGATTACATCTGCATTGTGCACTGTTCTTTAACCCTGAGGGGGACCTGCCTGAGAAAAGTCACCAACATAGAATAGAGCCAGGACCCGGCTGTGCATGAAGCTATTACTTCCAGGCTTTTGCAGTCATATGATTCAGTAAAGAATTCCTTTTTCTTTAAATTAACTTGAGTTATTTTTTACCATTCAAAAACAACAACAAAAACTAGGCTTCAATCAAACATTGCTCCACTGAATTCTGTCCAGTGAATGTGTCTTCTTACAATGCAGTAAACCTGGTGGTTAAGAACAACAGGTTCCAAAGCTAGCCTTCTCACTGAATAGCTATGTGGCTCTGGGCATGTTAACGCCTATCTCTGAGCCTAGGTTTCCTGGCACAAATAGAATGTGAAAGTAGCCCCACAGGATCACAGGACTGATGTCACTGGCTTCTTTTTACAAGGCATTTGAATTCTGTATCTGACCTCTAGCCACCCCACCTCCCCAGGACACATGGATTTTTTGGCCTTATATAAGGTAACTTTTGGGAGAAAGACTAAACTCTTAAGTTTTGCAAATGAAATTGTGATACACAAAACACTGGCTGAAGTATCTTGTTAGAAACCCAGAATCATGCTGGGTGTGGTAGCTCATGTACTTAGGAGACCAAGGCTAGAGGACTGCCACAAATTTGAGGTCAACCTAGACTACATAGTGAGTTCTAGGCCAGTCTGAGCTACAGAGTGAGACCCTATCTCAAAACAAAACAAAACAAAAAAAATAGGGGTTGGAACAACAGCTTAGCAGTTAATAATGCTTGTTTCTCTTACAGAGAACCAAGCACCCGCATCAAGCAGCTCACAACTGCCTATAATTCCAGCTCCAGGAATCCCAACACTCTCTTCTGCCCTCTGAGGGTACCTGTGTACATGTTCACACACATGCACACATGTACACATGTGCACATAGACACATACAGACATAGACAAATAAAAATAAAAACAAAACAAAATGAACAAACAGAAAACCAAATGCAGAATCCCAGCCCCACTCCTGACATACTCAAAAAGAATCTATTGCCGGGTGTGGTGGCGCATGCCTTTAATCCCAGCACTTGGGAGGCAGAGGCAGGTGGATTTCTGTGAGTTCAAGGCCAGCCTGGTCTACATAGTGAGTTCCAGGACAGCTGGGGCTTGTCTCAAAAAGATCAAAAAAAAAAAAGGAAAACTATCCACATCAAAATCTGAGGATGCTGTCATACAGTACAGTAGTCTCATCAATACCACCTACAATTTCACTTTCCAAAGCTTCAACCTGCAGCTTTAAGTTGTAGCCATTCTGAGTAATGTATTGAAACCACATGCTGTTCTAGTCTTTTCTTCTTGGGCTATGGACCATACATCTGTCCAGCATATCTACCTAGTATACACTACCCACTGATTAGTAACTGGTATCCACCTTGGTTATCAGATTGACTGTCTCATGGAATCACAGTGCTTGTAACCCTTATTTTACTTAATTAATAGCCCTAAGCACAAAAGTCATGATACTGGTAGTTTGCTGATGAGAAGCAGCAAAAGGCTTCTTTTATGTGAAAAGAAAGTTCTCCAGTAAAGAAACAAAGTCATATGCCAAGGCTGGTAAAGTATAAGAATGAATCTCCTGCCTATGAATTATCAAGAAGGAAAAGAATTCACATTGGTGTTACTGTTGGACCTCAAACTGCAAAAGTTGTAGTCTTAATGTATGGGTAAGTGGAGGTAAAGGCATTAGGTGTGTCCATATATATGCAGTGGAGACAAAGCATATGCAGCCTTCAGTACGTACCATTTGTGACTGACTTCAGGTACTACGTGGGGGTCTAGGATAAGGGGCACCTCTGTATAAGCCTCACCTTAGAACCCTCTCCTTTTCTAGCAGGAACCTTGAGAATTAACAGTCTTCCCTTTTTGGACCTGCCTTGTCCCTTTGCTTCCTGTGACCTCTGCAAAGACAACGGCCATCTTGAGATTGTCATTGGACAAAAAAAGAGAACCCAAGGGGCTTCTCCCAATCCCCTCTAGCAAGCTACCACTAGCTAACAGGAATTCCTGAGCTCTTTGGCTTCAGCATGATGAAATTCTTGCCCTTATGGTATATAGGAGAAGGGGTTCAGTCACCAGGTGAGGATGCCTCAGCAGACTACCTCCAGCGAGGGACAAGATATAGACTTAGTACCCTGAGTTGGCAGCTGGCCAGGGCAAAGGTGCTGATCAAGTGTGACTCAGACAGCTCCACCCCACATACAAAGGCACTTGTCAGCAGGATCCAAAGGGGCTAGGGTGGAAGATCTAGCTTCAGGGAATTCCAAGTGCTGACAAGTTCAGGCTCAGCTCTGAAGAGCTCACAGGTTTAACAGAGCAAGAAGTGAGGGACAGGAAAAAGTGTAGGAAGTCAGACTGGAAGGGGGGTGGGATGGGAAAAATGTCCAGGGGGCAGTCAGCCAGCCTCCCACCCTCAAGCCCAGGAGTAGCATGCTGGAAATTGCAGAAACAGAGCAGCCCTGGTCTCCACATCACAGAAATAGCAAGGGACGGTTTCACCAGGGTGGTCCAAGCAGAATTTTGAGACTTGCTCATATGTGTGGATCAGAGTTTTGAGGTTACGAGGGTACCTACCACCAGCATGATACCAGATGGTAACCAGATAGGAGAAATAGGAGGTTCTGAGGTATACTTCAAGGTCCCTGCAACTCAGTCACCTTTGGGGACAGTCACAGCCCTGGCAACTTCCAAAGTGGGAAAGAGTCAGCTTCCATGTCAGCTGAGGGGAGCAGGTCACCCACTGAGGGGTGATGCCATAAGCCCCAGCCTGGAAAGTTCTTTACCTTCCTACCCAGTAGGTTTGGTTATGCCACCTGATCACTGCCCACTGCCTGCTGGAGGATGTTGGCTCTAGGACCCCCCTTGTTCAGAACTCAAAACCCAGGGATTAAGAGAATGGACTTGGAGAAGGCAGGCCAGGTTAGAAGCCAGAATGTGCACCTTGGACAAATCACTCAATCTGTCAAACAGGAAGAATGCTACCTGCTGTTGTGAAGCTTGAATAAAATGATACATGTTGTGCTTAGCATAATACCTGGCACAGAACAGGCACCCCCACAAATGCCAGTTTCTTTCCCCTCAGCTTCCACAGGCCTGTTTTCTCACCAGCCAAGCATACCAGACCTGCCCAAGGTTTAGGGTGTGGAGGAACGCATGCTGGAAAGTGCTTTGAAAGCACAAAACGCTCTACTGTTCCTTGGCTGGCACAGTGCTCCATCCACCCTGCCTCCCAGCAAATGGGGGAGAATCCTTTGGAGCCTGAGATCCTCTTGCAGGTCAGGAGTTCCCACTGACTCACCTCCTCACTCAATCATGGCCTCCTTCCCAGGGATCCTATCCCAGCTATCATTTTGTTCCTTGCTAACCTTCGGTACAGGTTGGCTGTGTGCAGAGCCCTAGCAATGGGGCAGGAGGGACAGGCGAGATAGTGAATGGGTTGTAGATGTTTGGTGCACATGACCCAAAGTTGGGTTTCCTAGTTAATAAGGACCACTAGAGGCCTCAGACAGGAGAAAAAACACTGGGATATGTGCAGATCATATAAATAGGACAGGTAGTTTGGAAGGTTTTGTAAATCAGGGATATGTGCACGTGCATGCACACTCACATGTGCATATGTGTATGTACACCCTTCCCCAAAGAGCACCTTTCTTTTATTCCAAGGATGTCTACCTCTGCTGTTCCCAAAGCTCTCAGTCTGAGACTCCCACACCTGTGATCTGTAACATCTGTTGGTAGCCTTGGCTTTAAGAATAAACTTGGGTCATTTGGCAGGCTTTAGCCTGCTTGCTAGGAAGCCAACAGGAAGCCTGCTGAATGCCTTTCCACCCTCCACCTCACCCACAGGGAGGGTGGCTCATACAGTTCATAGCTAAACTTAGCCTGGCAAAGAGCCAGGTTATGGGATATAGAGGTTGGGGAAAGATGGTGGCTTCTGGGTGTCTGGGTGAAAGGTTGAAGGTGGTGGCCAAGAATGGTATTCTACCAGACTCTTCCTGTAGGGCTGGACAGAAGCCCAAGACCCTGGAAGAGAAATCCAGATGGCTGTTTACTGGAGCTGCTTATTCCTGCACTCTAGAGCACTCCTACCACAGCTTTGGTAAACAAACCACTAACAGTTAACTATCAGCCATAGTTCCCTTCTGTCAAGCCCTCACTAGGATGTGCTGGGTCCTGTCCACAGTGATGACAGTGACCTTCCAAGAGGTGACCATGATCCCTGTTTCATGTTATCTAAAGCTCAAAGAACTTTCTAGACATGTGGCTACAAAAGTCAAAGCCAGGCTGAAATTCAAATCGTTCTGCATCTGCCTGCAAAGCCCAGGCTTTCTACTATGCTATAGCGACAGAGCACCTACTGAGTACAAGGAAAAAAACTGGATGCTTTAGGATCCTCAACAATGAACACTGCCCCCAGTGATGAACACCACCCACTCCCTGGCAAGAAAAACCTTACAATCCACATGGGAAGTCAGAGAGCCTTGAA